AAAATCTACCACAACAATTCATGCAAGTTGAAATAGTACAGAAACAGCAATTTGGTAACTTTAGTTTTGAAGTTTGTCACAATATTTACCCAGCTTAAAAAGTAGACATTTCACGAGAATTGTATTTTATCTGAGCATGATATGGGAAGCTTCTTATACTGGCTGATCTCAAAATTCATACATGTGGCTTATTTGGTTTGGCTAAGTAGAGTGCAAACTATGATTTCTGGCTCATGTATGCTATTCAGTCCAAGGGACTCACAGGAGTCTTCTCCAGCATCATAGCTCAAAGCCCTCAATTCTTTGGCACTCAGCCTTCCTTATGGTCCAACTTTCACAACCATACATTGCAACTGGGAAAACCATAGCCTTGACTATATGCACTTTTGTTGGCAGGGTGATGTCTCTGCTTTTTTGTATGCTGTCTAGATTTGCTATAGCTTTCCTCCCCAGGAGCAAGCGTCTTTTAATTTCTTGGCTGCATTCCCCATCTGCAGTGATCTTGGAGCCCAGAAAAAAAAAATCTGTCACTACCTCCATTTCTTCCCCATCTATTTGCCAGATATTGAGAGGGCCGGATGCCATGATCTTAGTTTTCTTAATGTTGAATTTCAAGCCAACTTTTGCACTCTCCTTCTTCACTCGCATCAAGAGGCTCTTTAGTTCCTCTTCACTTTCTGTCATTAGAGTGGTATCATCTGCATATCTGTTTGAGGGATTTAGTAACATTTTGATTTCTCCTTTATATTAAGAAAAATCATTTGAGGTAGCCTACTTAGATTTTTACTGAATAAATAAGATGGGGTGATGATCATGTAGCTTCAAAAAATTTTCACTGAAAGTCTTAGACTTTCAATTTTCATCCCAGATTTATTGCCAGTCAATAACTGTCTGCGATCTTGCAATCTCCTGACGATAGCAGGGCCATGAAATTAGCCAAGTTTTAATAAAAACCTTGGGGTTGTTGTTGTTGGGAGCATCTGCACAGACCCAAGCTAGAAACTGGGGACTGTGGAAACTGGCTGCCCTTGGGGTATCTCTGGTATCATTAAGGAGCTTCTGGCAGCTTGTAAGAGATTTAGATATCATCTTGCTTGGTACGTTTGCTTTTTATGTTTTGCTTTTTAATCCTGCTTGCCTGAGCAAACAATAAAGCTTAACGCCCCTTTATTCACTTGTATGCTTATTGTCTCTGTATCCAAAAGAAACTATTGCCTGGGCACCTGAGAACTGGCCTGATATTGGCAAAGCATCTTCTTACACTGAGCTGGAAGCATTGCAAAGAATTTCTGCATGTGTTCACTTCAGTGCAAATGAAGATTCCTCACAGTCAAGAATGCTACTTTGTCAAGCATTCATACATCACTGTTTGAGTATACAGAGGTGGATAATCATCCTACTGGAATTAACAGTATTAATGATTTCTGACACTGTTGATTCACACATTTGTTCTTTTCATCTTCTAATCAGAGGTGGGTTTCAGCAGGTTCTGAACAGTTCTGGAGAACCAGTAGCAGAAATTTTGAGTAGTTTGGAGAACCGGTAGTAAAAATTCTGACTGGCCCTGCCCCCATCTATTCTCTGCCTTCCGAGTCCCAGCTGATTGGGAGGAAATGGGGATTTTGCAGTATCCTTCCCCTGGATTGGGGAGGGAATGGAGATTTTACAGTATCCTTCCCCTGCCATACCCACCAAGCTATGTCATGCCATGCCACGCCCACCAAGCCATGCCCACAGAACCGGTAGTAAAAAATTCTGAAACCCACCACTGCTTCTAATATACTGTTTTATTTCGAGGGAGGGAGGGAGGGAGGGAGGGAGGGAGGGAGGGAGGAAGGAAGGAAGGAAGGAAGGAAGGAAGGAAGGAAGGAAGGAAGGAAGGAAGGAAGGAAGATTTGAATAATTCCTGTCTCTTTTTCTAAAATGAAATCTGTTTGTTACAGGCAATCAGCAAAATGACAGCATAATATGAACTCTGATCAAAGAAGGCACAAATAAACTAAGTGTCCTTTCTTAATTTCTTTAGGTTAATTAAATATTCAGCTTTGCAAGGTTTTCAACATTGAATTCCTGATAATAATTAATCACATTGTGATTTACCAAACAGAGAGATTTTTTTAAATGTAATATATCGGTAAAAGAAAAAGGTCAAGGCCAAAATATATTATTTGCATTTTTATAGCTAGTAGAAATCAAAAGAAGGTAACAAATTTTCACAATGCATGTTCTAATGAAAGTAGAACCTCAACTGATTGCTTTACTTGAGCCAGGTTTAATCCCAATTGTATTTTGATTAGCTAAAATCAATGCTGTTAAATAATCTGCCACTGCAGGTGACATTCTAAATAGAGCAAAGAATCATTTATAATAATGTGAAATTCTTTACTTTTAAACATATTTGATACATTATTTAGGGTTTTTTAAACATTTTTTCCTGATTGGTGCTAGGCAAATTAAATGGATCTTAAGTAGATATTGCTGTTTTTAAAGGGGGAACGTTGTGATTTTTATTATTTTTAGAAGGAAAGGGAATAATTTAGTGTGAAACAAAAGTATTTTCAGAGCTGTCATGTGCCATCCTATCTCCTTTAGCTGACATCTTGATTTTTCAGTTAGGTAAGAATATATATTGATTAATTCTTACTCTTTGTACAGTACTTGTTTTTCAATTTTTTATACTAGTGCTATTGCTGTGAATTTCAGAGCAACACATTTCTTTTGAAATGTTAGAAGTTCCCTTTTGATATAAAAATCCAATTCGGATTTAGCAGTGGTTCTTCCAGGCAGCTTAGGTACTGGGCTGTTGTATCTGAAAGATATGAAAAATGTCAAATAAATAACTGCCAAGGTTAAGGTAAGATAAGGTTATGAATATATCTCACTGTTACCTTATCATGGGAAAATTATACAGGTGTTACTTTTTAGGACTCCATGATGTCAAATGAAAATTCTTAAACAACAAACAGTAGCAATCAGTATAAATTATTAAGAGCAGCTTGGTGTTCTGCACATATTGTAAATCACAACTGACTGTCATAGGAGTTGTGTTCTACAAGTGTTGGGAGTTGTAGTCAAAAATATTTTGAAGAACATCATGTTGAGTTGAAGGCTCAGGCACGTTAGAGCTCACTCAGAAAAGCACCTATAAAATGTAAAATGAAGAAAAATAGTTCCCATGTTCTCTATTTAAGTTTAAAATATAGAACAAGCATGTGCATGTTTTCAACTCATTTCCAAAATCCTAAGCATTAACTTTGCATAATTTTTGTGAATCTGTCTCTGAGTGAATTATTCATGTGAATTTTCCTCCATTAGCAAAGTTTCCTATGTGATTGTTGATAATTCTTAGAGTTGCAGTCTAGGATAACAGAGAGCAATATATTGGGAAAGGCTAGTTTATGGCATGCTACATTCAAAGGATTACATTTTATTAAATGGATTTTATTTATTTATTCTGCTTCATATAGTGATTGGTCGTTTTCAGACTACTAGAAGATGGACAAAGATGCAAAGTTCACTTAAAAAGAAATTGGTTTTGCCATAAAATTTATAAGCAATCTTCACTGCAAATATTTATTAAACTCTCTTTCTTCCACAGCTGACTACAAAACTCACAAAAATTGTATCCTTTTCACCACTACCCATTCAATCAACCCAACATTAAAAATCAGCCACAGGACTAGTCCTCCACTTACTAATAACTCATAAATGCACTCTCAAACCAACCTACAGTTTCTCTAAAGAGTATTTTCTATCTGCAGCAGTGGTGGGTTCCTCCCAGTTCGGCCCGGTTCTCCCGAGCCGGTAGCAGTGATGATATGATGTCATCAAACCAGTTCTGGGGCCCCCCTGGCCCCCTACCCCCACTCACCCCCACCCCCCACCCACCCCCACTCACCCCCACCCCGCGTTATTCTTACCTTTTATTTGGTCCCACTCCTAATCTATTGCTGCCTCCTGAGTCCCAGCTGATAGCTAGAGCGAAAAAAACTGTTTAAACTCTTGCCGCGGGGCTTCAAAGGGCCGTCCTACAACTGATCAGTGGTAAAAGAAAACAAATGAGTAGATCGGTCCCGGCAAAAATACATGAGTAGATCAGTGCCTGCAAAAATAAATGGGTAGATCGGTACAGCTCTGCAAGTAGTTAAAAGCCTGGTAGACCAGTACCTCTGCTAAATCCTAAATAATTGTCACATGACCATCAAGCCACACCCACAAAATAAGCCATGCCCACAGAACCGGTAGTAAAAAAAATTAGAACCCACCCCTGATCTTCAGGTTTCAAAGTATTATTGCTTGGTATTGTGAACCTGAAGCTTACAGAATCAGAACTAAATATGGTTCATTTTTAACGTAGCCAATAGCTGACCGTAAAGAACACCTTCTCTTTCAAACTGGAGAAATATCCAAAGCTTCCAGTGTTTTGTGAATTAATAAATCATCCCTCCTTCTTTTCCTTCATAAAAAGAGAAGAAAATAAGTTCCTTGTATCCACTCACAATATCCCTATTTTGCCAGCTAGTAGATCAGCTGACAGTTGGGGCCAAATGGCTGCTTCCCTCTGCTAATGGCAGTGTAAAACTGCCAACCTTGATTTTTTTTCCCCTAGAAATCCAGATAAAGATTTTTGATTAAAATCAATCACATCGCAAATTACTGGATGGTACACAAGATAGTGTAACTGCAGAAAATGTGCTGTGTTCACACACCCAACATATTTAATCTTGTCTCTGACTCAACCATTTTTGAATTCATGCAGTATTTTGAAGTCACTAGTCAATCTGTGTTTGCAAAAGTAGCTAAGCCATAAAAATCCCAACCAAGCTTAACACTAATCACTTTATACAAACATAGTCACTAGGCCCTGGATAAGAATGGGGTATGGACACAGGCAGGAAAGAATTATCTTAATGTCTGCTAAACTTGTGTGATCTCAGACAATGCCTTTAGAGAGCATTAAAGTGCACATTTAATTGTGTTCTTTGTCTTTGTATTCCAAGACCAACCAGAGAAACTTTTTCGGATGCTTCCTAAATCCATTCCTAATGTAACAGATACAGAACTCTAAGGTATTTGGAATCTAGCAGTTGTGCTATATTTAATTTTTGCATTGATAACAGAACACTGGACAACATCTCATTTATTTACAGTGCTGCAGTGTGTCCAGATTACAAGGTCACCTTTTGTTCTAGTGCGAAGCCTTTTTAAAAAAGCACTGGTTATACCTAAATTCAAGAAATATTTACTATTATTTAGGCCACAGAGTTCAATCTAAGGCTAAAATCCTATATACTAATTAACCTGATATACCAACAAATAGATGAATGGGAAGAAACCATAAAATGCAATGTAATATTAAGCAAAAGTGTTGTTTCAGGGATATCGCTGGGTGTAGATAGCTACTTTAATATGGTCTTTGCCCAATTACAGTTTATATGCCAAAAGAGAGAAAACTACTGGATAATCTAACCATCAAAGAAATCTGATATATTATAGCAGTTTAAAGATCTAATAAAATGGTGTTAAGGAGCAGTCAAGTAAGTGCTTTTAATACATTGAACTAACAAATAAGAATAATGACCTTTTAATTTTTCCTTCTCAGGTGCTGTTGGTATCAGTTTCCCACACAGCCTCTAACAACAGAACTGATCACAATGATTCTAAATATCTCTGCAGAAGAGACCGATAAAAAGAACCCCATTGACTGCCCTTCTATGGGAAGACACAGCTACATTTTTGTTATGGTTCCAACCGTTTACAGCATCATCTTCATCATTGGTATATTTGGAAACAGCCTGGTTGTGATTATCATCTACTTCTACATGAAGCTGAAAACTGTGGCCAGTGTATTTCTGCTTAATTTAGCCCTGGCAGATCTGTGTTTCCTAGTAACTTTACCATTATGGGCAGCTACAACAGCCATGAAGTACCATTGGCCTTTTGGCAACTGCTTGTGTAAGATCGCTTCAGTTGCAGCAACCTTCAATATGTATGCCAGCGTCTTTCTCTTGACGTGCCTCAGCGTAGATCGTTACTTAACAATAGTGCACCCCATGAAGGCCCGCCTTCGACGCACAATGCTCGTTGCCCGGGTAACTTGCATCATTATCTGGCTGTTGGCAGTCGTTGCCAGCTTACCTGTTGGGATTCACCGCCGCGCATATGACCTTGAAAACGAAAACATCACAGTATGTGCTTTTTGGTATGGCACACGCAGGAATTCAACCAACCACATAACCATCAACATTGGATTAGGCCTATCCAAAAATATTCTGGGCTTCTTCATTCCTTTTCTGGTCATTTTAATAAGCTACATATTAATCTGGAAAACTCTGAAAAAGGCTTACCAATTTCAGAAGAATAACGGCAGAGGTGATGACATCTTTAAGTTGATCGTTGCAATAGTTCTGTTTTTCTTTTTTTCTTGGATTCCTCATCAAATATTTACTTTTATAGATGTGCTGATTCAGCTTGATTTGATTAAGAGCTGTGATATTGAAGATATTGTGGATACAGCTATGCCCTTCACAATCTGCTTAGCTTATTTTAACAACTGCCTAAATCCTGTCTTTTATGGCTTTTGGGGAAAGAACTTTAGAAAATACTTCCTTCGGCTACTCAAATACATCCCTCCAAATGTCAGGCATTCCAGTTTGTCAACAAAGATGACTTCGCTTTCATATCGACCCTCAGAAGACTTAATCCGCACTTCCAGAAAAAAAGGATCTCTGGTTGCTGAGTGATAGTATAGCAGCACATTTTTTACTGTTAGTTGCTCAAAGCAACAATGCTCCTCTTCTGCAGTGTTGGACCATCTGAAATACTTCATCCTTGTGAAAACGGGGGCTTACCTTCATTTCATGTTATGAAGAGGAACATCTTAAACAAAGAATGCAGGCATCATGCCTTCCAGGGTCAGAGCTTGGTGGGAAATAATGTGTGGTAGAACATCTAATCCAACGACATGTAGAAGAATCTCTGAAATTATCTTGCATTGCCTTATGCATAGGTGGTATATAGATGACTTATTTCAGAGTCCAGAAAGGAAAGGTTTATTTCAAGAAAGTGAAAGAAGTCCCTGTGTAACTATAATCAAATCCTCCCTGTACTACATTTTATTACATACACCCATCTTCTTCAGAGCCTGAAAAGTGCCAGAATTGAACTCATGTATATCAATAATACCATAAAATTTTGAAATAAGAGTAAAAGTGTAATGCAATGTAGAATGAATCCACATTTAGATAAAATATATTTCCATGTTCAAGTAACACTTGCTACATATACAACTAAATGTACCACATTCCAAATATAGCACTGTTTCTAAATGTAATTGAACAAAAATTTCATTCTGAAGTTATCTCCCTCTCTATGAACTCTTGGCAAAATATATCTATGGAAAGCGTCTGTTTACTTTCACACAATTTTAACTGCCTTTCAGAAGTACTTCACTACTATTGTTTATTTCAAAATGGGTGTTGATACAGAAACGTTTTGATAATACAGCCTTTCCTAAACTGGTATCTTATAGATGACCCAGGTTACAACTATAATGACTACTGTACTGTCAGCTCAGTGCAATGTATCTGGAAGACACTTTATAGGTCATAACCTGCACCTTGACCTATACTGAATTCAGAAGCAAACTGGCAACCAATACAACTTGCAGAGCAGAAATTCAACATGCACCAGTCTTGGGATTCATAGAACTACCAGGACCATCACATTTTGCACCAGATTCAGTTCTAGATTCTTAGATTCAAAGGAGAGGGAAGTCACAGGACAACTTGATACACAGAAAATTTATCACAGATACTCAAATTTGAATGTGGTAAATGTGCATTTGGAAATCCTGGGAGATTGAACTCTATATATCTTAAAGTTGCCAAGTTTGACAACTACTACAGTAGAGCCAACCAAATATGGTGTGATGCCAAAAAGGCACTCATCCACCATCCCTATCAGCATAGACATTTGTGTGTGCACAAATAAATAGATATGCTATATTAATATTCTATAATATATGAACAAGACGGTGCCATTAAAGTATACAAAAATAAATAAATAAACCAAAAGAATACTCAGAACTTGGGTGTCAAACTTGATTGCATTACAGGCTGGATCGTGACTTTTTGCCTTTGCGGAGCTGGGATGGGCGTGGCCTATGCATGATGTATCCGGCCTGTGGGCCACCAGTTTGACAGTTCTGGTTTAGGGTTATGTCAGCAATAAAAAAGAAAGAGGTATTGTATAGTATAGAACCTCTGTTAGGATCAGTAGGTATTAAAACCAGATGGATTTATTTTCTAATTGCAAACTAAGCACATGTGCTGTCTATATTCTTTTAGCATCTATTATCAATCCCAGAGCTCCTAATCTCTATATCTCTGTGTATATATTTTGGATAACTTTAAATCTAAAATTTATTTTGTGCAAAGAAAAATAATGCAGCTATAATTTTACATTAATTACAAATACTCTTAATCATAGTGAGGATTTATATCCAGTATTTTAATTCAATATCAGATAATGGTCAAATAACTCAAGCAAAGAAGACAAGAGATTAATAGTCAAAGCCACTGCTGGATTTATCTCTGTCTTTTTAACAGAACATAGGATCGATGCTTCTAAGGCTATGTAAAACTTGCTATCTTAGTCTCCAGGTGGTCTGTCCTGCATTGCCAAACAGTCAAAGGATATGGATTAAACAGTCAAAGGATATGTTTAACATTGATTTAATAGTATATTACAATTTTCAATACAATAGTATATTACAACTTTCCTTTATGATAAATATATATTCTGATAACATCTGCTTTGAGGATAGTAGAACAGGGGCGTCACACCAGCATCATGTGATGTATTGGGACTTTTTTCCCCTTCGCTATATCGTAGCCAGCACATGGCCAGCATGTGACGCATCCAGCCCGTGGGCTGGGAGTTTGACAGCCCTGTAGTAGAAGGATCCTTTATTAACATTTCTGTGGGTGCAAGACCTTGCAGAGCCTTGGTAGTACAGGGGTTTAAGGCACCCTGTTATTAAGCTGGTTATTAAGACCAGCTGCCTGCAATTACTGCAGGGTTCGAATCTCGCCAAGGCTCAAGGTTGATTCAGCCTTCCATCCTTTCTAAGGTAGGTAAATTGAGGACCCAGTTGTGGGGGCAATAAGCTGACTTTGTATAAATATACAAAAGGATGAAGGCTATTGCTGAGCACATTGTAAGCCACCCTGAGTCTTCGGAGAAGGGCGGCATATAAATCAAATTTTTTTAAAAAAAGACCTTTAATTAAAACATTACCTTAAGACCTTTAATTAAAGCATTGTGTTCCTTCACCTGTTACGTTACTAACTCTTCACTATTGGTGATGTTGATTGGAGCTATTAAGAGTATAGTTTAGCAATATATTTAATAAAAAGATTCATTACACTGTGATAAGTCATTAAGGTATGAGTAGAAAAGAAGAATTGTGTTGTCAAAGGCACTCTCTTGCATAACGACTCTCCAAACATGAAGGACTCAAGTTACATAGAGAACAAGGTAGAAGAGTATGCCCAGATGTTCTGCTGGAAAGTCTGAAGGGAAATAGGATGCATGCATGCATCAATGAAAATAGAACTATTTTCATAAGATGAGACAAAATTTTATAGTCTTCAATCACATGGCAAGAGGTACCCAACTTCAAATATAAGTGCAGTTGTCCTTTATAATTCCAACTGAATATCTGCATTTGTTTCTTAAAGAACCAGTATAAAATTATGCATTTACTTTTATTGTCATCTTCATTTCAGACTATCATCTTGAAAACAGATCACATTGCTCTCTGATTAAACAGAAAACGTATACATCAACTAACACAGGAATACTTTTTATTTTCAATTATTACCATATCTATTAAAACACTTTTTTTCTGCTGGCAGAATCATTTTTAAATGTTGGCTTGCTGATTTTGTAAACGAAATCATATTTATTTCTATTTATTAATAACAGTACTTTATTCTACTCATTTCTTCCCATCATGGATGTAAAGCGCTTTCTTGGAAATTTAGTATAAAATATAAACATCCACAGAATGGATTAACTTGCAGAAAGGTTGGTGGTACAGAAAACATGCAAAAAGAAATGTATTTTTTTATGATATTTTATTAGTGATTCCACAATAGTATATATTTGGAAACACTGATATTAGAAGTCTGTTGAAAGTATTTACGAATTATAAATGGATTTAAATTTTTTTTAATAGTTTCACCCTTGCACATACAAAAATCTTCATTGTATCTGAAATTTAGTTTCATGTTTGATATATCTAACATAAAATGCAAACAAATTGTTAATGTTCATAGTTTCCTTTGTTGGCTCAGTATGTTGCTAATGTTCACATGCATAGCTTAAACAACCATGTGTATAATATAGATTCTGTATCTTACAAAAGCTGTGAAAAATAAAATTCATATATATTAGTATTTCAAAATATCATAATTGTTCCCACATTTGCGTTACTATGAATCACTAAATCCAGAGCCAGCCAATGCTATTTTGGAACAACCACAAAATACTAGGATCCAGGATGTCATTGAAAATTGACAGAGAATAAAATAGCAATAGCACTTAGACTTATTTACCACTCCACAGTGCTTTACAACACTCTCTGAGCAGTTTACAAAATCAGCATTATTGTCCCCAACAATCTGGATTTTCATTTTACCAACCTCAGAAGGATGAATAGTTGAGTCAATCTTGAGCCCGTCAGGATCGAACTCCAGCTGTGGGCAAAGTTTGTCTGCATATTTCAACCTGGCCAACTTTAAGATGTTGCTGCTGAGGAAATCTGGGACTTGAAGTCCACACATTTTCAAACTGACAAGTCAACCTTGATTAGAGTAACTAACCAAGAAAAGTTAAGATTTGCCATGTAATCACAGGTATAGTCTGTTATTCTGAAATGCTAGTTTCTATTATATATGCATATATGTGGCACATTTGTGCCACCATTGAGCAAATACTGTTACCAAATGAAGGAGTAAAGACAATTGAGTATTCCAACAAGTGTCTGTTCAAGTGAAACAAACACAAAAACATCACAGCAAAAACCATACAGGAAAAAGAGAATAATATCAGAGAATGGCTTCAGGGATTATAGTAGAATACAACTTTATTGATAGTACTTTAAAATATTTCTGTATAACCCCCCAGGAAATCCACTGAGTTGATACTGGTTTTCATAGGATCTGAAGTACTTTTAAATGAATCAGGAGCTTTGATAGAAAACAGCCCAACCCTACAGTATCTCAGTTCTAAAACAGATTATCCATTTAAACCATCAGCTGGGAACTTTTCTGGTTACACATTGTGTACCATAGGGATTTGCAGCTGCTGCTACTTTTGAGAAAGTGATGAAAGCAGCACTGCACTATCACATCTTCTCACCTTTTGGACAATTACACCAAGTAATAATATGTACAAAGAGGGCTAGGCTTGCATCACAACAGGACAGCACAGCTTTTGACAGATCGACCCATTTCACACACAGGTCCCAGATGCTTCTTATGCTGTCCTGCATATTTTTACTGAATGTCCAAGTAGCATGATTCTTAATCATCCCAATCCAATTGAATGTTGGAAATAAAGTCTGGAAAAAATCTTGAGATTCTTTTTATGAGCTGGCTAAATTTCCCCAAAAAATGAAAAAACAAGACCAAATTTGGTGTAGGTGTTTGGTAGGCAGCAAAAGAGCATATGCACTCAATGTTGTGGCTCTGTACACACATAGGCAACACAAGGAGAGAGCTGAAATATTCATGTCTACTGCTGGTAAAAAGGGTAGAAAAACACCCAAAACACATGCTGTGCTTGCTACCCCTGCCAATTTATTTTTTCCAATTGAACGTTGGGAAGACATTATGTAAAGAGATTGATAAAATAATAGGATAAGAAGAAATTTTATAGTCCAATTTTCTTCCCCAGCAAACAGCTGTCTAACCTTTGTTTGAAAACATCCAATGATGGAGCACCTATACCAGTAGGAAGCTAGCGGTTCCACGGCACAATGGTTCTCATAGTCTTGAAATTTTCTCATATTTTGAGTTTGGATCTATGTCTGTAGACAAGGGGTGTCCAGCCTTGGTAACTTTAAGACTTGTGGACTTCAACTTCTAGAATTCTCCAGCTCCCATGGTTGGCAGGGCAATTCTAGGAGTTGAAGTCCACAAGTGGAACTTGAAGTGGCGAAAAAGCAAGCAAAAGAAAGGCTGAGTTCAAAATGGTGTGGATACAGAAAAATTCTAGAACAGATTTCTCTCACTTAATGCTAGGTTTTGAAAAACCTTGCATATAATGAAACACCGAATCAATGGAAAAATAGGATTAGGGGATTGGTGTCAAATGTTGCAATCCAAATGCATTAAGAAATGTGCTCATAAATTTTAACTTATTCTTAAACACATTACTCAAACATTTTTGTCTCAGTTATGTACAGTGAAAGCATTTTCTCCATCTTTTCTTCAGATGGATTCTTAATATGGATAAATATTATGGCAGACAAAGAAGTTAGAATGCATCATGGCATCACATGTTTTATTAGCATTTTTATTATGTTTCATACAGTAGTCACCCAGATTAAAAACTTGATCTAGGGCTAAGCATCCCTCACTAGATTTGGTGTGAGGTAATATGTCCACTTTTTGTTTCTGTGTCAGAAAGATCCTTTTCCCTTTCATTTTGGATAAAGGGGTTGAACAAGATATTAGTGGCCATTTTGACCTTATAGGAACAGTGGTAGCTACTGCAGATACAAAATGTGGGAGACAGGAGGCACAAGTAGAAGAACTACACAGCTTTATTAAAGATACTACAGAACAGGGGTGAGTTCTAAATTTTTTTACTACTGGTTCTGTGGGCGTGGCTTATTTTGTGGGTGGGGCTTGGAGGTCATGTGACTAGGTAGGCGTGGCTAGCTGGTCAGAGTCATTTCTGGAAGGTCCTCGCACTTACGACCCGACTCATTTGTTTGCTTTTAACACTGATCAGCTGTAGGATAGCCCTTTGAAGCCCCGCGGCAAGAGTTTAAACAGTTTTTTTCTCTCTAGTCATCAGCTGGGACTCAGGAGGCAGCAATAGATTGGGGGTGGGACCAAATAAAAGGTAAGAATAATGTGGGGGGGTGGGAGGGTGGGGGGGGAAACCAGTTCGGTGATGTCATATCGTCACCGCTACCGGCTTGACCGAACCGGACCGAACTGGGAGGAAACCACCACTGCTACAGAAGTTAAGAATATAAAATTTAGCAGAAAAAAATTGCATTTAAAATGTAGTATTTTATCTTGGTTCCTTCTTTGAGAAAAAGCCACATTACCATACTCACCATTTTTATGGATTTAAACACATATGTGTTACAAAAGATACCAAAAGATCTTTCATGCAAGGCAAATCAAAATTCATATATGAAGCTGAATAATTCTTGACAGATTTTCTGTTTCATTTGTGCTGTTTTGCCAAGGATAAAATTAACATGATCCTTGTTGAGGATCATATTTATGTCAGAGGAGCTGGATTTAACAAATCTAGAATCTATTTGACCAAATCCACTAGGCCTTCTAATGTGCTTTCAGTTGCTGAAAAATCTGGCGTTTTCTGATGCAATTGCCAGAATCCCAGCCAGCATGCTTGCTAGTTTGTTCAATCCATCTGGAAGGAATCAGATTAGAGAAAACTCTCTAATGCATACTATATAGAAAATGTATTTTAAAAAGTGTTCTCCCTACTCCAGTGGAGAAATGTGTTTTTCCCCTTCCAGTGGAAAAAAAATTATACTAGGTTTAAAACTTTATTGGCACTTAAGCATATTTTTTCCTGATTGAAGCAGAATTTGTGAAATAATTATACGTCCATGACAAAAGCTGCTAATGATTAGCCTTCAAGAACTGCTGTTGTTTTTCTGACAGTTCAGAAGCTGGTTTTGTTTATTTCAGGAAAAGGAAGCATCAGATCTTTTATGGACTATCCAAACTGAACAGACAGAATAGCAGTGCTAATTATCCATTTCCATCATTTCACTAAAGCTCTCACTGTAGAATAGAAGACTTCGGTAACAATTTAGAATTCTAATTAATTCTTGTCAGCAAGTAATGCTTCTTTGAAGTAATAACATTCACTTTACTGCTCAGCACTAATATTGTGTCATAAAAGGTGGCAAACGCATAACCCAAGTAAAGAGAAAAGATTATATGGGACAGCAGAAGTGAAAACATTATCAAGTAAAGCAAAGAGATGTGTTGGCAAAAGAAGAAAAATGTGAAAGAAATAAAGGTCAGTTTATCATAAATTCTGTTTCATGTTTGTTTTGCTAGTTGAGATGTCAGTAGCTCTCGCAAATGATTTTGCAGAGTTATTATTTCTTATGGAAATTAAATCTAAGTGAATATTTTATTTATACACTTATTTAGGAAATTTCTGAGCCAAAGTGGTGAAGGTAGATATGCTACAACAATATGTTTATCTTAATAGGTTGTCACAATTTTCCCTAACAAAGAAATGTTGGGGGCAATTTCCCTGAAAGGTGTGTAGCACAACATACCAAACAACACAGATATATGTAAATATAAATTCTTTGTAAACAGCTTTCAAAAATTTATTTTCAAAATACATGTTATACAAACAAATGGTGGCAGGGATGTTTATCCCCTCAACCCCAGCAAATGAATTCATTTCATTCCTGTCATTCATTTAGCAGTGAATTCAGATTGCTCCCATAAAATCGGGAGGAATTCCATTTACATACCTGCCTCTAGATATTTAGGACTATTTCCTGTACCCTTGATCAAACTGGCTGGACTAACAGAAGCATATAGAACAGGAGTGTCAAACTCACGTTGTCATGGAGGTGTCACGTGACATATCCCCTTTGCTAAACTGGGCGTAGGTATGGCCAGCGCATGATGCATCCAGCCTGTGGGCCGGGAGTTGGCAGCCCTGATTTAGAACATCAGGGCTACAAAAACCCAGATCACATTAAATGACAGCAATCTCTATGCTACCATCTGGTAGTGCAGCTTAAATCTGGTAGCCCTATAAATTGTCTAGTAGCCTTACCCCCAAGCTCTTCATATATTACTAACTAGGCCAGGTAGGAAATATTTGGTTGCTTTCTTACAAAAACATGCTTGTGATATCCACAACAAGCAAAAAATCCTTGCCTAGCTTTGAAAACCTCCAGGTAATTTCTGTCAGTGCTGCAAGGACCACAATTTTCTAGTTGTTTATTAACAACAATGAGAAGTTTTGCATAATTTGTTGCAGTGAAGATCATGTGTAGAAGATTGAAAAGGCCAAATATCCAGTTTTTGAGTGAACACAACTCCACAAGCAGACAGCTGGCTTCATTGCATAACTATGATACAGCTCAAATAACTGTCATGAGATTGTCCCCACAAGATGTAATACCTAAGGTGGTCATTAAAACCAATGGGGGATTTGTTATT